AATATATCATTAAGTTTGCATGATTTTATAGAAATACGCGGATGCACAAACATATGCGATAAAAATAATTCAGAGCGAGCTGAATTTGTTAGCTTGTTTTATTCGTAATAAAAAGTCGATGTTGCAATGTTCGATGTTATTCAATACTTTTAATATCATCTAAAAAATTATAATTTATTTTTAATAATTATTTTCTTAAAAAAATTGTTAATGACAGTTGAGTGACGCTTTTATAATATCAAAAATGTAAAGAAAATTTATTGGCATAATGTAAATATTTCTACAAGCAACTTTTCGCTGAAATATCAGCTGTCAAGATACTGCAGCACGGAAAATCTAATAATTGAAAAGACTATAAATAACATTTAATTCCGACCACGCTGCAGCGTACTTCGGAAGGACATACATAACAGCAATATACCTCTTTTAGTATTTTCTTCCTCAATCCCTAATGTAACAAGGTAATGGACGCTCCCGTGAGACACGAGCGTCCCCGTCGAGAAACGAAATTTATGATTGGATCGCATTCCCAAAGTAGCACGGGGAACGTGGCGCGTGTTTATCTGCCGCGGATGCTGGTAAGTCTAATGGGGTGTAAAAGGGCCGAAGGTATATGGCGAATGGACGGACGAATAGGTCAACGAGCCGTATACCGAAGGAGAAACAGGGCGAGAAAATGCACCGGACCGAGCGAGGAAAAAAAGTGCTCGTGCACCAATCAAATAAATCACTCGCGCCGTTGCTGCCTGCCGCCTCTTCGCGCGGTTTTTTCTCCCTACGCATTTTCCGCCGCGCGTGTCTCTTTCCGTCCGCGCGATGTAAATTGCGACGTGAGCTTTGGCGTTTCCCCGAGTATATACCTGCTGCATCGAGCCGAACCGATTTTTTCTGCTATTGTGTTTCCATTCTCGCGATAATTGCTTCGCTACGTAATCAGAGCCGGTAAAGGAGCAAACGAATGCTCTTGAATGCACTTAGGAAAATGTAATCAACGAACTCATATGTAAATAGCAAAGAGAGATTATAGAAATTCGGAATACTAGTAGTAAAAACTAATGTAGACAAAGTTGAGAGTCTGCGAATTTTAATCTTGCACTGAGATGTCTGAAACCGCAGGATTGCTGAGCAGTAATTTCTTATTTCGTTTCTTTGAAAAGGATACATTGATGTTACGTCAAAGGCAGTCATCCTCGTGAAATTAATTACAGACCGTTCGTTGTACAGAACATGGAAATAAAGTTACACGATGTTGCAAACGGATTGTTTTGCGCGGCGAGAACTCACCTAAAAACCTCCCTTCCGGACAGTTAAGCAATGCACTAATCCTTACGCGAGGCATATCGATATTCGATTTCTAATTGATGACCTTACAATAATAATTTCAAACAAAATTCTGCATAAAAAAGATTAAATTTGTTTTATAGATTCGAAATTTACAGCGCATTTTGTTAACTCGTACTCGCAAGTTCGGCTAAGCAGACAATTAAAATTCGAATTCCATTTGAGAAAGAAGAAAACCCCAGCAATTATCGTTGCAATTCAAATCGTTGTTACAAGGACCAATTTCCATAAATTCCACGCGAAGCTTTTGTACTGCTTTAACCGGTTCTACATGGCCACATAATCCGGTTGAAAACTCTGTTAAATGCCATGAGATACTATCTCGGAGGAAAAAATATCATAACAAAATAGAAAAATGTTCGAGAGTTTACCGCGTGATAATTTTTATCTTTTGTAAACTCGAATTTAAAGCAGATTTTCGCGTCATTAATTAGCTCCGTAAGTAATTATCAGTCCGAATTGATATAAATTACTACTAGAGTTGGACGGTTTTACTGTGTTTTTCGAGGGAACATTGAAAGTTAAAGCGCGTAGCAAAGCAGCGAAAACAAGCGACAGCCATCAGTATAAGTTCGGACAACCCAATTATATGAGAATTTCGTTACGAAAATCGGTTTTCTCGTAAGTCAGCGTCGTGGGTGAAGTCTCCAGCGCTTTTGGTTGATTTTACACGGCGGGGACATTACTCCGTTAGCTAAAATCCCGCTAAAACGTCGTTAAGCGGAGTGGAAACTGCGCGGAAGCGACGCTTTCATCAAAATCAGAGACACGCACGACATTTAAGAACAAGAAACGCGACCTCGTGCTTTTCGAACTTTCGTGCTCTCCCGGTTGCGAATAAACAGAACCGTCGTTCGCGAGAAAAAAGCTCGCGTCATAAGCAATCGCGATCACAGTTGTTCTAATGTCACTGGCTTTTAAGTCAGCTTGAAAGCACTTTTATAGTGATATAAATAAACAACAAATTTCACACGACATTTTTAGTACTGAGATTTTTAATCCTCAGATTTGTGGAAACCGCAAAATACAATTTTCTATTAAATATAAAATATTTAGCTGATAATATAATATTTAGTTGAAAACTAAAATGATATTTTCGAAACACTCTATGTAACAATGTGAAGTCGATACACGAACGCGTTGTCCTCTCGGGATGTTCGAACCAATTTACCGAGATTTCTCGGGTGCTTTTCGTAATCAAGCGTACGTAGAGAGCGAGGAAGGAAAATACGTTGGAAAAAGAGGACAAGAGTCGGCGGAGATCTTTGATAAGACCGATAAAAGTGTCAGGCAGTAACGGCAGCGACGTGCAAGGCTTCGTTGAGCCCCTAAAAGACGAAGGGCCAGTGATGGCGATGGCACAAGACGAGAGTAGGTGAAGCGGAGAGAAACGCAATTCGCGACAGAAAATAAATTTTACGAGACGTACACTGTGACTTTGTAAAAATAATGGCGACGGTGCATCGAACGTTTAAGCGCCTAACAATAGTATTAAATTTGGGTATATTTCGCGTCGCAATCTTAACTAAGAATGAGAAATAATTGGAGTTCTAAAAAAAAATTATTGCAATTTTCTTACGAGTCGTTGGACAAACTATATTAATGTTAATGAGGATTATCGTGCGGAACTAATAAACATAAAATATAGCTATAAACATTTTGTGCTCAGCATAAAATGCTGCACAAAGATAAAAAATACTTTAAGCGTGCTTAATTTCGTAGCATTTCTGCTACGAAATTAATAGAATTCAAAAATAAAAAAGAAAGCTGCGTTCAACATTTATGTCGCCATTGCTTTAAATAAAATCGATAACAATTAAAAAATGATAATTATATATTTAAAAATAATTAATTAATTTTATTATTCAATATTATTGTATTAGAGATATATAGAGATGGTCTTTTAAATAAACTATTGATAGTAACTTCTATTTATTGTCTATCTACTTCAATTATAAGATGATTTAGATATCCCGAATGGAAACTATCGGTAAACATTCAATATTGGAGAAAAGCCATGAGAGTCAAACGAGACTTCATCGTCCTGAATCCCACACGGGGACTATCGAGTGATCCTGTTTGCCAGAGCATCATCGTTTATATAAGTGGTATAACTTCATCCGTTAAACAGTGGTAGAACGTGATAAAGGGAAGCAACTTACGAATAATAACCCTTTCAACTCTTCAATGTTAACCATAGGTTTTACAGCTATAGTTAACGAGTACAATTTCGGAACTTTTCTTTCATTTCACTTCGTGAAACTTGATAAATTTATAATGAGCAGAACTATTAATTTTATGACAAAACTTATGAATAACATTATCTTCGATATCAAAGGCACAAATATAAAGATAATGACAATATAATTTCGAGCGGAAATAAAATTAGCATATTCGCCAATTTTCAGATTAAATGCCTCATAAATTTATTCGAATTGTTGCTAATATTCATATATATCATAATTTAGATTCAGAAATGTTGCAGGTTTAAATAAACGTTCATACTTTGCGAGAATAAATCTCACATTCAACAAATAAAAATTAACAATGAAGATAGTAAATTAAATTTAAAAAAAAAAATCGAGCAATTAAAAAGCGTGCGATATCGAAAGCATTCTACTTTATTTAACGTTTTAGATAGACCGATTTTTTTTTCGCGTTGTTTGTAAGCAGTGCTCGCTCGGGAGTTATGCCGGACGATTTATTTAAGCGGACAAACTTAACCTAACAGTCAAGCTCAAGATAGGAGCCCAGGAATGCCGGACGATTCAGACATCGCTGCCTTGAATCTGAACGCGCGCTTAAGCTCTCAACGGCTACCAGAGAGAAGCCTGAGAGCGGCCATCCTGGCGTTTTTCGTAGGACGTCCACTGTCCTTTATTCAATATCTGCAATATCTATTTTAAAACTGGAATTACATTGTCATATTTTTTTTTCGACACTGTGTCTAATATACATTTACCAAAATGCGAATCAAAAGAGTACGACTTCCTATAAGAATTTATTTTTGCATTGAAATACCAAGTATAATTCCAACTTTAAAATAGATGTAGATACGTTGTTATAAGTATAGATGGATAGGTTAGAAAAGATTAGGATAACATTGGCGCATTGTAAGAATAAATACAATTCAATAATCATTAATTGCAAACGTATTTTTCTATTACGTTAATTAATTGGAATATGTTGTGCAAAATATTTGCGATGTATCTTTAACCAATACTTGTCACATACACTTTAAAAAATTTTCTGACTATTGCTGTACCAAATATAATACTTAATCCTGTCAGACTTAATTGTTTTTAATAAATTTGAGCAAGTCTAAATAATATTGAATCATATAAGAAGATAGTACAATAAAAACATTTACTGATATAATGAGCTTTATTTCAAGCTCTGTTACTGTGTATTTTCGTATGCACAACAACAAGAGACAAATAAATACATATATTGCATGATTAAATCGGTACTAATCTATGCTAACCCATCCACTATTTTAAATAATGAATCTATGAATGTGAAAATTTATTCATAATATTCCTTGATGTTCTTAATATAAATTTTCAATTTACTTAACTTGAGAGAACATATCTTATTATGTATTCGCAGATCCATTATCTTCAAATTAGAATAAAAATAATAATTTAAATTAGACTCACCGACACACGATGCGCAACAGCGGAGTCGTAGTTTATATATATATACACGTTGATCTGTAACATACAAATATATGCAAATTATACTAACGTCAAAAATAATTAATATTTTAAAAATAATTATTGTGCGCAATTAACTACTTACTCTATAGTTGTTCCGCTGTCGCCCAATGCCCCCTGGGCCGCCTCCTCCTCTCAGTCCATTGACGGCTGCTGCTTCGATAGCACAACACTCGCGAAATTACACTCCCGACGCGCACTTTGCCATTTTTTGACAAAGAAGTAAATCAAAAAAATTATTCGCACGAAGTTACAAATCGTTCAATACGTTGTCCGAAGCAGACAACAGCGACAAAGGAAAATCGGAAATTGCGTCGTCAATTTGACCGCGACCTGTTATACCTAACTATTTTTATAAACTTTCCGCGATTTCCAGATATGAGTAAATATATAATCGTATTTTAAGACGTTACGGAATTTTACTCTCTCATATTACAAATAATGAAACATTTATTGCATAAATGAATAAAATAGTAGCCAAAGTTATGAAAATATATCCATAAAATAAATTATTTAAATTTTTAATTGCGATAGTTAATTAGTTGCGAAGAATATCAATTTATAATTACTCGTAAGAATCTTCTAATTTTCACCGCGATCACGATTTAAGATAACGCGATTTGTAATATAATACCGGACCGATTATCGACTGCTTTGCTTAAATGCCTCCATGCGAATGATAGTAAAAAGTTATAGCGTACAGAGGACAGCGCGCGTACACATTAGAAGTTGCGAAAACGTAAACAACCATCTACGTCACGCGTAAGGAATTTCGAAACAGGCAACAGCGACAAAGGAAAATCGGAAATTGCGTTGTCAATTTGATCGCGACTATGTTATCCCTAATTATTTTCATAAACTTTCCACGATTTTCATGTATGAGTAAATATATAATCGCATTTTAAGATGTTACGGAATTTTACTCTCTCATATTACAAATAATAGAACATTTATTGCATAAATGAATACAATACGTAAACTAAAGTTATGAAAATATATATCCGCGAAATAAATTATTCGAGTTCTATTGCGATAGTTAATTAGTTGCAAAGAATATAAATTTATTATTACTCGTAAGAAAGAATCTTCTAATTTTCACCGCGATCACGATTTGAGATAACGCAATTTTTGTAATATAATACCGGACCGATTGTCGACTGCACTGCTTAAAGGTCTCCGTGCGAATGATAGTGAAAAGTTATAGCGTACAGAGGACAGTGCGCGTACACATCATAGGTTGCGAAAACGTAAACATCCATCTACGTCACGCGTAAGGAATTTCGAAACAGCCAACAGCAACAAAGAAAAATCGAAAATTGCGTCGTCAATTTGACCGCGACTATGTTATACCTAACTATTTTCATAAACTTTCCGCGATTTCCGTATATGATTAAATATATAGTCGCATTTTAATACGTTACAGAATTTTACTCTTTCATATTACAAATAATAGAACATTTATTGCATAATTGAATACAATATGTAAACTAAAGTTATGAAAATATATATCCGCGAAATAAATTATTCGAGTTCTATTGCGATAGTTAATTAGTTGCAAAGAATATAAATTTATAATTACTTGTAAGAAAGAATCTTCTAATTTTCACCGCGATCACGATTTGAGATAACTCGACTTGTAATAATACCGGACCGATTGTCGACTGCTCTGCTTAAACGCCTTCGTGCGAATGATGATAGCGAAAAGTATCTCTAGCCTGGCGTACAGAGGACAGCGCGCGTACGCACATCATTAATTGTGAAAATGTAAACAACCATCTACGTCACGCGTAAGGAATTTCGGTAGGATTTTCGTAAGAAATTTCGAACTAGCACGTAACGCCAATGATCATTTATATTTGTGCCCTACGAAGCAACACACGTATACGCACTATTACGGCAATAAAAATCGCTCCGTTCGCGTTATATTTTCTCAAATTAATTGCAACAAAAATTAAAATATTCTTTCCTACGAATAATTATAAATCCAAATTTTGCGCAACTAATTAAATGCCGTGATTAAAGGATATTTTATTTCACGAATGTCTACCAATATCTTAGATTGCGTATTTATTCATTTATGTAATAAATACTTCATTATTTGTAATACAAGATAGTAAAATTCTGTAATACTTCAAAATGCGAGTACGTACTTATTCATACATTTCTTATATGTGAAAATCACTGAAAACTTATGAAAGTAGTTAAGCATAGAACAGTCGCGGCGGGCAATTTCTGATTTTCTTGTTTCCGTTGCCTGCTTTGGACATTGCGAGCGTTGAACGATTTGTAGTTTCATGCGATAATAATTTTTTGAATCACTTCTTTGTGAAAAAATGTGTATCGGTTTAACGAAATTTTAAATCCAAATCCAATTACTATCTTTATTCTAATTTGAAGATAATGGATCTGCAAATAATAAAATATATTTTCGACATACATATGTATATACAGTAGTATTTGTATAATTTATATAACATCAGAAATGCAATAATTTTAAAAACTAAATTTTAAGATACAAACTTAATTGTAATGTGTATTAAATAAAATAAAAATTGTGACAATGTGAAATTAATATATCAATTAATTTTAATTAAATAAAAATTTTCAAATCTTTACAGAATATCGAAAATAGCACTTTGTGCTATATAGCTCATTTAGGATGATGACTTTATCTATTGCATTTCAGACAGTTATTTATTATTGTTTTATTTTGGTCGTAACTTGTCTTCTTGTTAACTGGAACAAAATTGCTCCGTTAATACTAATTCTCATATAAATTATCTTACTTTCGAATTTTTCTTCATCTGACGCTCACTGTTAATGACGTGCAATTGCCTAAAGCGTGATTCATCGAGATTTATTATGTGTCTGTGGCAGTAAATTTATATAGAATCAATGGAATCGACGGTTAATGAGAGGTGCGGTATCGATGACCACAATGGATGTGATCGAAACCGGCATGTGAGCTTGGTTACGTCGTGTACCAATGAGGTGTCCTACAACGTATGCGCTCGCTCGCGCATTAGGCATTACCCAATACTGCTTTTGACAGCTGTCGAATGATGCGCGTTGCTAGTGTCAATCTGACCCAGTGGTTTCAAACACTTTCCCAAAATTTATGCCACGTTCGCAGGCTCGAAATTTTTAAATTAAATAAATCAAAAGTAATATAGTATAATATTATTATATTATTAAATAGATAAAAAACATGTTGAAATTAATATTTAAATCTAAAAGTAATTATAATTTTTAGATTTATAATTTTCTGTTACACATAAATTTACGGATCAATAATATAAAATAAAAAAATCAAAAATAATTATCTGAAAGAAAATTAATTAAAAAATATGTTGCATTGTGTTAGTATTAAATTATTATTAAAATATAATAAAAACCAAAAAATATTAAAAAATAGAAAAAGGTAATTAAAGACCTTTGACAAATAATAATATAAATTAAAATGTAGAAATGGGATGTCAAGCCCCAAGCCAGGTATAATTGCTGTCG